AAAAGGAGAAGGAATAGAGGTGTGACCATTCTCTGTGGGGATACTTTCTCCTTTCTCTCTCTCTCTCTCTCTCTCTGGTAAGCACATGTGCTTTCTAGGTAGAAAAAAAGAAAAAAAAAAAGAAAAAAACCTAGAGCCAAGGAGAGAAGTCTGAACTGAAAACACAAATTTTGGAATCATTCATCTGGAATAGATTAAATAAAGAATGATTATAAAAAGAGAAGAGAACTGGGGATGGTTACAGGGAAAATGCACATGAACATTTCTAACACTAGACAGCAAGAAAAGAGATATCTGTGGAAGAGGGTGAGAACCAACAGTAGAGCCATTGTTTCAAATCATGTTTACTGCCTGTGTTTCTATTTCTATTGTACAAAGACCATAACCACCAGCTGTCATCAAAAAAAGGGATGGAGGTGATTGCTTTGTTTTCTTATGTTATAATAACTTCCCTTTGGTGACTGTGGGTGGCACTTCCTATCTTGTCAGACACTTAGCCAGATTGAAAAGCCTACTGCATAATATTTGTGTCACACATTTTATAGTTTTTCATTATAAACTTTAGGTATGATGGAGAAATATTGGGCCACTGGTACAAAAATTAGTTTATTATCCACCAGGTGAACATTGCACCCTAAAGAGCATAGACAGTGAGTTAGAGTGACTTTGGAGAAATCACCTAGTCCATCTATAGTCCCTACACTTGGCTTTATGACATTCAACATTTATCTTCTTGGATTAACTTGAGTAGCACAATGATCAATACTGAGAGGAATAATGACTATGATACATCACCAAGTCAATATCCTAATAAACTCTTGTCAGGCAGTAATGTTGGGCCCAAACATACAAGTTAAAATTTGACTGGAATAAATGTAAATTTCCCACCTTTGGTTTTTAAAAAGTGACTGCATAAAGTGTGGTGGAGTTAGTTTAATATATGAGCCCTTAGCGACCAGCAGATGGCATAATGGTTATGTTGCTGGACTCCCACATAGTCCATCACAATTCGAATTCCAGACCTGGAGACTCAAAACTCATGCTGAACATGTATGTGTGCATGCCCAAAATCCCAAGAGGAGAATGAAGAAGAGATTTCAGCATGGCCATCCCCCCAAGGGGTGATTTCTTGCTTTCTGTCTATCTCTCCAGCGAGCACAGACACTCTATAGCAAAAAACTCTAAATATATTGTCCCGACCCACAGGACAGTCGAACAGGTTTCCTGAGGGAAGGAGTGAGAGAGGGGATGAACAGCACAGTGTTACAACACGGAGATGACACAGTGTTACAACTCTTCAGGGTCGTCTGTTTATTGTGGGCCAGGGATCGTGGTTATAAACATGTTGGTGGGCAATGATTGGTTGTTAAAAGGTGGGTTATGATTGGTTGCTTTTGTGGACCAATCATGAGGTACCGGATATGCAAACCTGAGGGATTCTAAGCTCACCAATCATTGAGCGCTATGGGATGTGACCAATCAGAGCAAGGTTTTGAAGGTGAGGTTGTGAAGGGGAGCTAATCATGGCCTTTATCATTGTGTAATTGTTTGCTCTCTGAGAAACCAAAACCTAAGGGCGATATTCACTGGTGCACATCCTCCCACAATATATATACCCCCCAAATCTAACTTCATTTTGGGCCACACAGAACATACAATGCAGGCAATAGTTCTCTTATGCTCTGACCTGGGAGGCGTCTGGAGTGCTTTAGTTGTAGGCACCACTCCAGCCAATGAGAGGAAGCAGGTGGAAAGGAGGCCTGTGAGGAGTGGTGGAAGGGACTTAGGTGTGACCATTCCCCAAGGTGGGCTACTTTTTCCTTCTTCTCTCTCTATCCCTCTCTGGTCACCACATGGGCTCTCTTTTGGAAACCAGCCAGAGGAGTTGGAGGTAAGCAGAGGTTGTGATGTCTTTACAGATATTGGAAGTATCATCCCATTTAACAGGACTTAGATGAATTCTGTCAAACTTCAGAGGGCAGAATTTCTACAAACAAGTGAAGGAAGGCAGTTCACAGCATAAAAAAAAAATCTCTCTAATCATTTCATCTCATAAACGGAATGAGCAGCCTTGTTAGGCAATGAGCTTAAGCAGAGTGATATTGAAAACAAGGGTCCTAGGGACCAGCAGTTGGCATAATGGCTATGTTGCTGGACTCCCATGTAGTCAACCACGGTTTGAGTCCCAGACCCAGTGGCTTCAACTCATGCCAGGTGCATGTGCATGTGTGCCCAAGATCCCAAGAGGAGAATGGAGAAGAAGGGATTGTGGTGTAGCCTTCCCCCCGGGGGGGGGATTTCTCACTTTCTGTTTCTCTATCTCTCTCTCTCTTTCTGGCGAGTGCACATGCCCTATAGCAAACCACCACCATCACCCAAAAAGATAAGAAAAGAAAAGAAAAGAAAAGAAAAGAAAAGAAAAGAAAAGAAAAGAAAAGAAAAGAAAAGAAAAGAAAAGAAAGGTCCTGGGGAAAGGGAAAAATTGAATCGAATGACCCTAAAGCCCCCCATCATCATGCTTAGATCTGGCCATGGGAAATGATCTGTCCAGTTGCTTCGTTTAATCAACCTGGATACAATCCTCATTAAAGGTTTCTATTTGGTTGGTTGGTTGGTTTTTCTCCCCTTATAGAGATAATCGGTTCTACAAATCTTATCATTCTGCTGGAGGATGAAATCTTCGCTGATTTTTTCAACACATTTCTGTCACTCCCGGTAAGCATCCTCAGACCTAAATCCAAATGTTTTATTAACAACTAAATTCTTGTTGTTCTTGTTGTTGTTGTTATTTTAACCTAATTTCTTACCGAATCAAAAACTCTTTCAATTTGAACCAATACATAGGAACTAGAACCACCCCTAAATCTCCAGGATCTTCCCACTGTTGATGTAACCAAATCCTGACTCCCAGCCTCCTTAACTGCCTTCAGCAATCCTGAGTTATTTCCCCACACACTTTGTGCTAATACTCAGTGTTTTAGGATATAGCTCTGTTCCATTAAGTATACCTGCCACTTCCCACCTCCAAACATCTCCTTGGGCTGTTTTATTATTTTGTTTTATTTTTGCCTGAGATGTCTTATCCACAGTTACCAAAGCCTTAATCACTTTTTTTTTGGAGAGGTTTTGGCTATAGGGTGCGTGCGCTTGCCAGACAGACAGAGAGACTGAGAGACAGAAAGCGAGAAATCACCTCCCAGGGAGGATGGCCACACCACAGTCCCTTCTCCTCCATTCTCCTCTCGGGATCTTGGGTATGCATGCACACACACCCAGCCTGAGTTTAAGCCACTGGGTCCAGGACTCAAATTGCAGTTGATTACGTGGGAATCCAGCGACATAGCCATTACACTAACTGCTGGTCCCAGCCTTAATCACTCTTCAGATCTCTATAAATTCTGTTCTCCTGAAGGGATTCCTAGATCCTCACAGCTGGAACCTCCTGATTGGAAATTTAGTTGGCCTCTGTGTTCCTTGGCACTTTGCAATTCTCTTGTCGTATGTGTGAGTGAGTGTGTGTGTGTGTGTGTGTGTGTGTGTTTGTGTGTGTATCCCACTGGACCAAGAATTGTGAACTTCTGCAAGACAAAAACTTAGGATATTCATGTTGCTCTACTACCCTTTCCAAAGTTGTTGGCTATAATCAAACCTATATATTTCCTCAGTTTATGCAACTAAAATAAACCTCAAACATCAAAATGGTTTTCAACCCAAACCTAGATAAAGCCCACATCTTTTTGTTTTACTTCTTTAGTGATATTTTAATGTTGGTGTAATTTAACGTTAGCTCATTTCAAAATTACAAAATGTGACTCATTTTAGTGCATCCTTTCCCATGGAATGCTGTTAAAAGGTGAAATTTCAGTCAAGTGAGAAAAAAACTACTATCTCAAAAATGGTTATTAGATGGTTATTTTGTGCTAGTCATAAGGCTTAGTTATAGAGATAGAGTAATGATACCATCCCTGTCCATAAGGAATTCTAAGGTGAGAGATTGGTATTTAAGGTACGAATGCATAATAGAAGTTTTTAGAATGCAATGTGATTACAGTACCTAAGCAAGAGGCCACTCCCACCTAGAAGAGTTAGAAAAGGCTGACACAAGCCTAGTCTTTAAAAAGGAGCAGGTCAGGACCAGTAGATGGCATAGTGGTTATGTCACTGGACTCCCACATGATCAACTGCAGTTTGAGTCCCAGACCTGGTCGCTTAAAAACCATGCCAGGTGCATGTGCATGCATGCTCAAGATCCCAGGAGGAGAATGGAGGAGAAGGGATTGCTGCATGGCCATCCCCCCTGGGGGGTGATTTCTCACTTTCCCTCTTACTGGGTCTGTCTCTGTCTCTTTCTTCCCCACAAGCTCATGCACCCTAAGGCAAAAAATTTCTTAAAAAATAAAAGGAGCAGGTCACCGAAAATTGACTGGGCAGGTCATTGACAATTGACAGAGGTGAGGAAGAAAAACTAGATAAGAAGTAAGAGGAAAAGATTAAGGGGCTTAATAGTAAGAGAAGCAAAGTTCTTACAAACAACAGGGAAAGTAAAGGCACCAAGGGATCTAATCCTATGCCCTTTGGGGGGTGCCAACTTTAAGCTGAACGAAAGTTGTGAGGGGGGAGACACAGCATGAACTAAAGCTGCATATGCAGGATAAGTCAAGTGAGATAAGACAGAGCATGCTTGGAAGTTTGATGTTATCATGAAGGCAATAGCCATCGAAGACTTTTTAAGTCAAGGAGTAACATGATCAGACTTTCATTTGACAACAACATGCTATAGAGGTCTGATCAGTGGGTTGGGTGACAGGGGCCCATGATAAAGGAAGTAAATGATTTCAATAGTCTACATAGGAGGTGATGCAGGTCTGGAGGGAAAGGAATGAAGAGAATGGTACGAACAGAAGAGATTTTTAATAAAATGAAATATAGGACCATATAGGACTATTTGAATGTCAGGAATAGATGGTAACAGGAAGAAATCAAGGGTAACAGGCTTGGGTGTTTAGGTGGATGCTGGTGCCAGCCAATATGATTTTTAAAAGAGGGAAGAAGAGGCCTTTCCTTGAATGGGTCTTGAGGTCAGCGGGTGGCACAATGGTTAAGGTGCTAGATTCCCACATGGGCAACTGAAGTTTGATCCCCGGACCTGAAGGCTTGAAAATCAATCCGGGCGTGTGTATGTGTGTGTGTGTGTGTGTGTGTGTGTGTGTGTGTGTGTGCCCAGAATCCTGGTAGGAGAAGAGATTGAAACATGGCCATTCCCCTGAGGGATGATTTCTCATTTCCCCTCTTACTATCTCTCTCTGGTGAGCATATGTGCCCTATGGCAAAAACCTTAAAGAATGGGTCTTGTGGGTGATCCCCATTCATACTTTTGCCCATCCCTACTAGTGTCTTAATGACAGATTTCAGAAGTAATCTTTATATATGTTAATTAGTCAATTAGTCAATTTAAGCAGCTCACAATACCCTTCTAGAATCAGCACGATATGGGAAGATGGAATTACAGCCCAGACATAGACTACGCCCTACACATACAAAGGAACTCTACCTCCTTGGCTGTTTCCTAGCTTTCTTTTGCAGGTCTTCGGTCAGACACCAATTTACACTGTTGAAAATTCACAATGGAGCTTATGGCCAGAAATACCTTATAACTTGGTGAGTAAGTTTCCTAAATGGCAGAAAGTGTGGGTGGAGGAAGAGGGAGCTGTATTTGAAGTGTGAATTGAGAGGGGAGAGAAAAGAGGCCCAGAGGGCGACTATAGAAGAAACTGTAAAGTAAATGAGTAGGACAACAGCATGAAGTCAGGTAGACATTTTTCCTTTTTACATTTTTTCTCTCTTGAGCAAATGATTTTGTTGAATTATTTCCTTTGTATTCTAATCCATAGTTAGCAACTGAGATTCATCTCTCACGTCCACTATGATTGTTGGGGAATAGTAGCTTCAAGCACTGTGCCAAGAAGAACTTCGAGACCACATCTAAGCAAGAAAGGTCTGGAAGGGGCCAGCAGGTGGCATGGTAGTGAAAGCAACGGACTCCCACATGCGTAACTGTGCAGTTGGAATCTCGGGTCCAGAGGCCTGAAAAACACACCAGGCACATGGGCATATGTGCCCAAAACCCTGAGAGGAGAATGGAAAAAAGGGATTGTGGTATGACCATCCCTGCTGGAGATGTCTCTCTCTAGCTAGTGTACACATTCTATACCAAAAATAAGTAAATAAATAAATAAAAGCCTGAGAATTAACTGGCAATGTCTACTAGGAATGTGAGACAGGAAGTGGTAGCCCATGGGCCACATATTTGTTATCAGATATTCATTATCAGACACAGGTCAAGATAAGATGCTACTCTGCAATTTCTAATGACTACTTACTGCTACAAAGGCATATCTTTCTCTCAATCTTACTTTATCTTTATGCTTTCTTTCCTTCTCCTTGTATATTGTCTTTATTTTATTGCTTCTCTTTGGTCAAACAAAATTTAGATATTTTATTAAACAACTTTACTCAGGAATAAGGAAGAATTTTTGATGAAAGATCAAGCTTTTTATTTCCTGTAAATCCATTTAGTTTTTTGGGAACCTCAGCCTGAGTACCTTCTTTTTTGGATCCTTTTTTTCCCCCAGAGGGCGCATGCAACCTCTGGAGAGAGAGAGCAAGAGAGAGAAACTGAAAAAGTACCCCCAAGGAGGGAATGATCACAATGTAATCCCTTTTCCATTTCTCTCTTCTGTTAAGATTTTGGACACCCAGCTTGTCTCTCAAACAACCAGGTCTGAGACAAACCAGTCAGTCATATAAAGTATAATCATTTAATCACCATGCCACCATATAGCCCAGATACAACTTCTGTTTTTCTTTTTAAGGTTTTTGTCATAGGGTGCATAAACTCACCAGAGAGAAGAGAGACAGAGAGATACAGACAAAGGAAAAGTGAGAAATCACACCAGGGGAGATGACCATACCACAATTCCTTCTCCTCCATTCTCTTCTCTGGATCTTAGGAACACATGCATACATGCCCAGAGTGATTTTCAAGTCACTGGGTCCAGGACTCAAACCATGGTTGGCTATATGGGAATCCAGCAGCCTTCACCTCCTCACCACCTGCTAGTCCCCAGATACTACTTTAATCAACATACCTCACATTCCAGCTAAATACTGTAAGAGTTAAGTTATTAATTACTCTTTGCTTAACTGCATTTCTTAGCTATTCTGTTTGATCTTTCTGTTGGTATTTTTGTTTTGACTGCAGATTTCGAAATATAAAGGATTATTGACTTGGTTGGAAAAATACCGGTTACCTTTTTTTTGTAAAACAAACTTGTGTTTCCATTACATTCTCTGTCAGGAGCTCATCAGTTTCATTAGGTCCCCAGAAGGAGGTAAGCATGAATATGCATGTGCGTGAAAAAATATGGGAAGCCACATGGATAATGACTTGTATGTTTGTCACTCTTATACTGAAGTGCAGATACTGAATGTGTTCTTAGATATGCAAGTGGGCCAGCCCATGTTGCAGAAATAGGTGATATCATAGGTTGAAAAATTGGTACCTAGAACAATAAGCTGAAGTCAGATGGGCTGGGATATTTATCACAGTGTAACCAGAACTGAGAAAGTTAATGGTAGTCACAGAATATGGAAAATTACCTAAAGTATACCCAGATCAAGAAAATCTCACCATCTTAATTCTTCCTGGTATCTAAGTCAGCACCATCTCTCTCCTGAGAATTGAAATCATCTCTTAATTAGCTTCCTTTCTTCTCTCCTTGCTTTCCTGCTCATAGCAACCCTAGTGAGCCTTTTTAAATGGTTGAGGGGCTTCTAGGAAGATGGTAGAGGAGGGACCACCAGAATCTCTTTCCCCACCTGGACAACAATTACACTGATAGAATCTGTATGATGTAACTATTTTGGAACTCTGAAGTCTATTGAAGACTTTCAACTTCCATAGGAAGGCTTACACAGCAAACTATAGTTCATTTCATTCAAGTTTAGGTCTTAACAGTGACAGTTACCTATCCCCCAATCTTAGTCCTCTGGCACATAGCTGTGTACATGTTTTCGCACACAGCTTGTGGAAGCCAGAGTGGTCAAAAAGAACCTAGTTCTCCAAATACTGGGGATATGAGTTCTGATTGCTGGTTACAGCTGCTGGTCACATAGATACAAAGAGATTGGCAGCCCTGTTGTTGCACCTACCCATTGTAAGTCCCTCCCCTTCTGGCTGAAGTGATTTCCAAGGGATTAATATGACTGACATTTTTCCCTGCCCTCATTTTTTTTTTTTCCTTTTGGGAGGCAAACATTAAGGACTAGGACATTCAAAAGCAACTGTATATATAGGGAAAATTAGAAAGTGACTGTGTATCCATAGGAAAAGCTACTGGCTCAGAAAAGACCTAAGAAGACTTAAGTTTATACTTTAGTCTTATCCTTATCACAAAGACAGACTACAAACTTTTTTAAAAAATTAAAAATTGGGACCAGCAGTTGGCATAATGACTATGTTACTGGACTCCCATGTGGTTGACCACAGTTCGAGTCCAGGACCCGGTGGCTTAAACTCACACCAGGTGCATGTGCATGCATGCCCAAGATCCCGAGAGGAGAAGAGAGGAGAAGGGACTGCAGTGTGGCCGTCCCTGCTGGGGGGTGATTTCTCGCTTTCTGTCTCTCTGTCTTTCTTTCTGGTGAGGGCACATGCCCTATAGCAACAAATAAATAAATTAATTAATTAATTAAACAAAAATAATATCAAAACCCAGAAAATTATGAGAAAAGGCACAAATCTGATTTCCAGTCATCATATTATTACATTCAAATGTCTAGTTTTCACCCAAAAAAAGACATACAAAGAAACAAGAAAGCATGCCCATTTAAAGAAAAAAATAATAAATCAAGATAAACTGTCTCAAGCAGCAGGTGATATGGTGGTTAAGGCACTGGATCCCACATGGCCAACTCTGCAGATTAAGTCCCA